CATAGTGCGCTTGTCAGGGTAGGTGCGGGGGGGATCGGGGTCAAACATCTGATCAGCGTTATGGAGAACGGGTAGCCGAGCTAGGTGCTAAGCTCTAGGCTGTTGGATTAGCGGCTTTGGGTCCTGATAACTGCGGCGCCGAAACGAAGTTCTTTTGGGCGCACAGGACCAGTCTGTGTAGCCTGATGGCGGCCGCTTCTGCTCTAGCCAACAGACGCGGTCTAAGGAATTTTGAGTAGCTTGAGGGCACCTTGTAGATCACTCGGAAGGCCTCTTTGCACCCACGCGATGGTCTGAGTCTAACATGTGCGCTAGAATGGGACTATTTATACAGTTTAGTTGGCCTTTCCCTACCCACGCTGGAATATGTTTTCGTACTCTTTTGGACAAACGCCGGCTCGTGCGACCGATATATCCTGCTCCACAGTTATCATGGCCGAAAGCCGCTAATCTAATAGTCAGCAGCTCATCTCCTAGCTCGGCTACCAGTCCCCCCTAACGCTGATCAGATTTTTGACCCCGATTCCCCCCCCATCTACCCTGACAACCGCACTATTTTTGTCTACCTACCCGCATATTTTATTTACTTAATTAATTTAAGCTAACTCAAGGTTCCCTGAGGGCAATCGTAGCTCAAGTGATTACAGCGTTTGCTGCACCCTTGGTGCCGTGAGTTTCCATTTCATAGTGAACGCCGAGTTTTCGAATTTTGGTCCACATGAAACTCTAAGATCAGGTGAGTAGTCAAAACGCACTCATTTGGGAAGATATGTCCAGTTAGGAGATAAGTAACTCAGGTGAAGTTAACTTTTATAAACGGTCGTAAAAAGGAAAGTTTCCGTGTTGTTGCCGGCGTGGACGATTATGCTCGCAGCTGCTTAAAAGAACCCAGACTCACTGCAGTTGCCCGGACGGAAAAGCACGTGAGGCCTGATACCTGAGCGACCACTTTAGGCGACCCGAAGGTCTTCATAAGCCGATGCCTACGTGCTAGCGCTCTGACGTCCCAACTAGAACTAACCCGTACGATGTGGCATGCGCTGCCATACATCAAGTATGTGTCGGAAGCTACCCAGCGCAAGGAAAGAAGTAGGGGGGGTAGGAGTAGGTACACGAGGCCCGTGATAAATTTATGCGGAATGGAGATCCGAAAGCGTTTATAAACTAAGGACTACGCGTTCGGCCCCGGAGGACCGAAATAGAATAGCCACCAAGGATATGGCACGCTCTGCCATACATCAAGGGCGTCTCATAAGCGAGTGAGCGCATCGCTGGTGGACAGGGTGTTGGAATTGCACACCGACCCAAAGCTACCATACACAGTAGAGGGATAAAAATGAAAGACAGGCTCAATTCCAATGAGTAATCTAGGACAGTGTATCGCATCTCATGCCAAAACTCTTCTTGCAACTACACAGCTCGGAAGCAAAACATGCTCGGATTGTGCATGCATGAGCATAAGTTAGTTGTGCGACGGGCGACTGAGTAGCGCAAGTTGCTGCTCAGACCTACGAAACGGGTCATGAGTTCAATTTCGCAAACCTTAAAATAATCACCCAGGCCGGAAACAATACGAGCCGAGAATTTATTGAAGCCTAATCCGCGGATGTGGACTCAGTCAATCGATGTATCGAAGTAGTGCTGGCGTACATAACCCTTTAAAGTCACCTATAGAAATTTGTCCGCCTATAAGTCTCGCCTATGGTTGCTGTTGCTATTGTCGTAAGGTGGTGCTTGTATTGACAACAGAACGTTTCCAAAATCAATAACCAGGAAGACAGAGTTTGTGAGAAGAGCTTTACTACGCGAAAGGAGCTTTACAACAGACTCTGTCAAACGATCGTGGTAGAATCCTAGTTTGGGCTCCAGATTACCGCGCGACACCCCCACCCTCTTGTAATATAGAACCGGGTGAAATAAGGAGTATACAGTCAGGGCAATACAAAGGAAAGGAAATATAAATATAGTTTATAAAGTAGAAAAAACAAGAATAATTAATTAACTGTCCTAATGTTTGCCAACAAAAAGCACGCGATAATTAAAATGTTTAACCATGAAAATATTAGTAAACAACTAACTTATAAATCATTAACTAAAACTAAAATCAACTAACAAAAAGTAAGATTAAGTAAGCTACACTGACTTTACTTAATCTGAAAACAAGCTTAAAAAGTTAAATAAACCTAATAAAATAAACTGGTGTAAGGTTGTGACGCATTTAAATCGAAGGTGTGCACAGCGCTTCGTCTCGCGAACTATATTAATATAACCCCAAAACGGTAATTTGGATCCCAGGCAATTTGAAGTAGACGATCGCCTAACCACCAAATTATTTTTTCAGGACTATGAAGAAACCGAGTAAAATATAAAGTAAAAGCAAGTAAAAATGTCCAAATTTGTCACACTAAATTAATTATAAGTAAGTAAGAAATACAAATAAATGTCTGTATTCATTTATGGCGCGCTACGTTGTTGCGAAATCATTAGATTATTTAAAAAATTTCGGGTACCTTAACCAAGATTCCACCACGCTCACAACCACTGCATCTTCAGGGCTGATTGCGTGAGCCGCAAAGCCTCTACTGCAGAATATTTGCGCAGTCGGCTATAGCCAATCAAATGAGGTGGGGCATATCGATTGGCTACTAGCGCTTATCAAGAGGCGAGCCGGCCGAAAGCGTGATAAAGGAAGATAGCGCGCGGAGTAGATGATTACGCATGGGTGCAAGCCTTGGCAGAGCAAAAGCAGAATGAGTCAGCCCGGCGGCGCTGGGCACGCGCATTTCCACACTATCACAGAAAATGAATCTCTTTGCAAGCTCAACTGCTCAGAATAATATACGAACTATTCCGTTGCTCGACCGGCCCTCCCCTCTATTACTGGTCTACGCCGCACCGAGATTATACACATGATTCCATTAGCCACCGGTATTCTAGCAAAATCATTATCTAAGACCGATTAATTCGCGGCCTATTTGGGAAATTCTATGTAGTATTTGTTTGTACACCGATTTATCTCTCAGGATGTGCCCATCCTGGAGCTACACTAGAGTTGGCTGCCCGTAGCTGATGAGGGCAAACAGCCCGAAATAGCTATAGTGCGGTTTGCCTATCTTGCCGGAATACTAAAAAAGTCTAAGCTTATGACTATCTGTTTAAAGGCTGTGAGCTCAACTTAAACTGCTCTTCTTTTTTTCCTTTCTCTGTTTTTTACTACCTGCCTCTGAAGTTCCATCGGTGGTGACGAGTGGCTGAAAGGCAACGGTGATTTCTACGTTACTTCCAAATCTACTGTAACCAATAAGCGTATGGAGATGTCAAAAACTACTACTGCCGTTGAAGACGTAAGTCAATACAGTGACACAGGAAAACGACCAGCCGATAGCAGTATCCAGTACACCTCTATGTCCGAGCGACATACGGAGGAGCATTTGTCTCCAGGCGACTACCCTTACCAGCGTCCGGTCGATGGTGGTTCTGCCTGGGGCACCGCAGAGAACTCCGGAACCGGAACTGCTATTCATGTAGAGGTGCGTCCGCGTTATCCCGCCGTGGAGGTTCCTATTCACCGTGGCACTATGTCCAATGCGCAATATTCGTCAGTACAACGAGAGTCTACGCGTAAATCCAATCGTGGAAGTAACTTTATTGTTGACACGCGGACAATGCCGGGCGTTGTACCCAACGGCCCTGGTGGTAATTATATGGCTACCGGTGACTATTACAGCTCCATCTCACGCAGGACTAGGTCGGCTGTGCGTCAAGGCGGTGACTCTCGTGTGATAAGCAAAATGACCAT